TGGCCCTATCTATGCCTCACCATTGATTTGGGGGGGGGGGTTAATTTCGTTTTGACCAGAATTTCAATTGGTCTAGTTTTTCCTTAATCCACATCATTTCTGTAACTTAACAGCTATATGCAGTATTACCTTAAACACATGCTTTCTACAATACCATAATATAGTGCTATTGGTATATATACACTTGACAGACATCATTCAATTAATTATTCTGCCTGTCTATATAACCATTTCACTAACCATTCCCGCATCCAGCCTTACCCTGTCAGGAAGTTGCTTTCACCCCTCCCAGAAGACGGTCTTACCACAGTTTTCCCTGGGGTGCCTTTTGGAGGTGGCTAATAGCAATCATAACTTGGTATATGGTCCTTTCCCCAAGGTTGGACCCCTACCAGAGCCAGTCTTATCACAGTTACACACAGGTATCTTTTGGAATTGATCACTACTCTCTTGGTTCATGATTGGTACCCCAAGGTATCACTTATATCTAGGCCTTAAGCAATCATAAGCAACCCTGCCAACTACACCAATTGTCCCGAGCAACGCTATTAGTAATTACTCAGAGGCAGATTTTCTTCAAATGCAAGCGTATCTTCGACACACAAACAATTAATGCACAGAGTGTTGGGTGTGCTGAAGCACCCCAACAAGCAATTAAGGCACACTAATTAAGCACTACAAGCATTTCACACAATACTTGGGCAACCATAAGCCCCAAAATACCTCCGATGCCAAGCAACTTTAGCCAAAGAGCAAAGTTGTTATTGTCTACTAGTTCTCTCCTGCCGGTGGTTGGACCTCAGGGAATGATGGAGTCAATCCAGGGACAGAGAGCAAAGCACCCATTCTTACTGATATCCTCAGAGCAGCCTCGTTGATGTGGTAGAACAGTGTTTTAAATATAGTTCAAAGATGGTGGTGTTTGTTGGTCATTGGTTACACCCAGTGAGAGTCAATGTCCATTGGTCATGTCCAGTGAGATGATGTAATTGCAACAGGACATGTTCTTTGTGTATGCCCATGGAGCTGTGCTACTTATCAATTGTAACCAGTTATGGCTAAGCATGCCTTTGGCCAGTGCCTCTTATAGCTTTCTATTAATTATAATTAGGCCTGACTAAGCATGCCTATGGCTGCTATTCCTTATGGCCAACAACTTAGTGAGTCGCAGCATGTGCCAGCACGTTTATGGCAGATGCTTCTTACATCACCCTACATCAGTCTTTCCATCTTGGTAAAATAAATCCTCTCAAATTAACTCAAGAGATACTTAAAGGAAACAATATTTCAAAGACCATCCACCAAATCATCAAAGCCTGAGAGACATGTCAGAGAAATAACCCCCTTAACTCTGCCAAGATGCCCCCAGAATTACAGAAGACAGAATAGTTCCCTGGGGAAGACTGGCAACTTGATTTCACTCACATACCCAAGAGCAATGGGTTCCAATATTTATTGGTTATGGTAGACACTTTTATGGGATGGACTAAGTCCTATCCCTCCCAAATTGAACAGGCAGGAGAAGTAGTCAAAGCCTTATTACAGAAACAATTCTCCAATCTGGGCTGTCCCACAGCCTCCAGAGTGACACTGGAGCAACTTTTAAGGTAGCTGTCCCTCAAGGAATGTCCAAAGCCCTAGGCATAAAATAACAACTCCATTGAGCATGGAGACCTCAATCCTCAGGAAGAGTAAAAAAGACTAATGACATCCTAAAGAGACATCTAAAAAAACTCAAGAAACATACTACTACCCATGGCCTAAGGTGTGTCCCTTGGCCCTACTCAGAATTAGGAACACCCCCAAAACAATAGAACTCAGACCATTTGAGCTCCTATATGGAGGGCCATTTGTAAAAAAATGATATCCTTAAAGATCAGGAAAGGGCAGATCCAGTGGCCCATGACACAAAGCTAACCAAGTTCCAAGCTAAAATCTGTAAATATCACATATCTGAGCCAATCACTTCTCCTCCTCTATATGAGCCTGCAGATCTAGTTATGACCAAGACCATACCTTCAAATTCCCCAAATTTAGACCCTATTTGGAAAGGACCTTTCCCTATAATCTTATCTACCCCCTCTGCAGTAAAAGTGCTGGGTCAGAGGAACTGGATCCACCACTCTCGGGTTCAAACCTGCCATCCTGAGTCGACTCCCAAAGAGACTTTTCCTTCCCAAGGATCTGAGGAATGACACTTCTGCACATGAGTAGAAGACCTGGAATATCCCTTCCTCAGAGACAATGGTGATATGTAAACTTTTCTTTCTCTCTTTATTTATTACTGTAGACAGTAATAAAGATTGAGCCTAACAATATGCCACTAGGTCACAGAAAGATAATTGCTGGATATGTAAACTGTTACCCCTCTCCAGCACCTCTGGACTGCCTTGGTGGGTATCCCCTTACAATAAAATGACTGTATAAATTTACAATCCTTAATGTTAGAAAAAGGAAGAAAGATCCTCTTTATAAACTGCTTCTCATGCCGATATTAATTTATGGCCTATAAGTCAAACTTTACCACAACTAGGTCATGGAAAGATTTTTCACCTTAGAACAGACCAATCTTCAGACTTCTGCCACTGGTAAGTCACATATAGGCCCATGCAATTTCACCCTCCACCATCACCATCACCACCAATTTGTCACAGTGTTGGCTATTTATCTGATTTGGGAGAGATATTTATGGCTTACATACACCATTGGACATCTAACCAAGAAACCCCAGTCTGTTGGGAACAATGTAACCACACCTATGACAAATGGCCGAACATTACTGGAGAATTAGGATGGACCCCAGAGTCACTATGCCAATAAATTGTGATTTTACAAGTCAATGATTGTTTTGGGACTAATTGACTCTCTAGACCTAAAATTATTTGGCCAGCACCCAAAGGTATTCAATGTCTATGTGGAACTAACTTATGGCCCTGGCTTCTTCCAGGCTGGATGGGAAGTTGTACTATGGGGAATCCCTGGATGCAAGGGAGATGGACCCCAAGTATAGAACAGCCAGCAAATCTCTCCAATCTCAGGCATAAATGGGGATGATCTGCTTTTTGTTGGTATGATCATCAAGCTTCACTGTTTCTTATTCCACAAATTGATTTAAAAGATGTAATGTGACATGTGGAGACCCTAAGCAATTATACTTAAATTGCTCTCCATGACATTGAGGTGTTTCTCTCCTTAACACAGAAGTAACATACATGAGGAAAGCCATCTTACAAAACCACATGGCAGGTTGCAGAATCACACTGGTCAAACAGTCACGTATATATACAGCAATAAATGAGAAATTATACCCCATTTGATTCAAATGTATGATATGTCAAGATCATTGTACTGTCATGTGTAACTAATAAAAATAAAATAAAAATAAATTTAAAAACCTCATGGCTTGAGATGTCCTCACAGCACCCCAAAGAGGTACTTGAGCCATTATTAGAACTGAATGCTGAGGGGAGGGGGGATAGTAGAGGATAGGAAAGGTAGCAGAATACAACAGACACTAGTATGGCAGTATGTAAAAACGTGGATGTGTAACCGATGTGATTCTGCAGTCTGTATACGGGGCCAAAAATGGGAGTTCATAACCCACTTGAATCAAATGTATGAAATATGATATGTCAAGAGCTTTGTAATGTTTTGAACAACTAATAAAAAACAAAAAGAACTGAATGCTGTGTTCACATACCTGACAACTCTGGCAATATGACTGACATCCTTAAAGATTTACATACTCAAATATAGGCCATGTCCTCACCAGCCTTATCATGGGGACAACGTCTTAATTCTTGGTTCTCTGGTACCTCCTGGTGGAAAACATTGTTCGTTTCTGTTGTCATCATCATACTTGTTGGTATGTTCCTATGCTGTGACATTTATTGTTGCATTAATCTTCTTCTAGTACTGATAACTTCTTGTATCTCTTGTAGACCACACATCTCTCAAAAGACCCTCCAGCCTATTGCTTCCCAAACAGATTTTACCACAGACCTCTCCATTGGCTAGCCCAATTTTAAAAAGGGACCTCCAAACTGCTTGCCCCCACACCACCCACTTCCAGCTCCAGGCAGCCAGGGCAATCATTGTCCACTTTCCTTACAGTAGTAAGGAGTTCCTAGATTTGGAGGGGGAAATGAAGCCAAATTGAAAAAAGGCATTTAGCAAAGATAGATAAATTGGGCCAGATTGAAAAAACAGACCAAACCAGTTTGGGTCTGAAAGGTTGGAGATTGCAGCCAAGAGAGATTGAAATGTTAATGTCCCCAAGAAGCCCAGTCTATAAACTTTCCTAAACAATTGTTAATGAACCCACTCCTGAGCACACAGGGAACTGCTAATTAAATTCACTCTGGGCACCTCTTCCTGCAATGATCACTCCACCCTGGCCCCTCCAGCCCACCTGTTACCCACCTTTGGGGTTTCCCACCAGCATCTCCCTATCAGATATATAGCATGAGGGGAAATGAACAAGTTAAGGGGTAAGAATGTACAACAACAAAGAAAACTTTAGATGTATCAAAGAGATAGGACTTCCTCATTGCAGGGATTCTGCCTTTCAGGTCCTCTTCTTTCTCTGGAGAAAATTCTGTTCTCCTATCTTTACATAAAACTTCTTACTTTCTATTCTATGCTTGCCTCAGTGTGCTTCTTTGGTGTTGGACTTCAACATTTGAGGAAGCTGGACTTGTCAAGGTAACTGTTAACTGGCAGTATCAGGAGGTATGGCTATACTCACTGCAGACAGTGAAGGGACAGAACCATGTCCTTAAGCCAGGCAAGGGCCATTCTGAGAAGCTCTGATACTGAGGAAATAAGGAAGAAACAAAGTACAGCTCAACAAGGAAAGTTCATGAGTTGGGAGCAAGATTGGGTGATTCACTTCAAGGACCTACCTGGCAGCTCCTCCTCTTCCTTGATTTACATATAAGAAGTGTGCTGGACACCAGGATCACCACTCCTCTGGGAAGTCACCTTCTGCCTCCTTCAGCATGCGCACTCTCCAGCTGCCACTCAGGGCTGGCCCTGCTGCCCTGCTCCTGATCCTATGCCTGCAACTGGGACTCAACAAAGCTCTGGAAAACCCGTGAGCCAAGCCCTTCCTTCCACAGAGAAACCTTAGGGAGGGCTTCTTTCCTAATCAGGAAATCTGTACATCCCTTCCTATAGATTTTTAAAACTTCCTGGGACTCCAGTTCCAAAGAACTAAGTAAATTCTAATTGCTGGACCCTATCCAGAACAAAGAAGGAGGATCTTTCAGGACAGTCATAAAAAGCCAGTGCATGGAGATGTTTGCTCGAGTGATGTGATTCTGTGGCTATGCTGTCTTCTCCTATGGGTGACTCCCCTCTCCCGTCCCACAGCAGATAAACAGCAGAACCTGTAGGGTGTTATTAGTAAATGACGTGTGGTATTGTACTTGAATCTTCATTTCTTTTTTCTGTTTGTAAACTTGTTCTTTTTGTCAATGGAAATAAAATGGAAACTGATCTATTTTAAGTAGAATTCAGTTGCTTCTTAAAATGAAACTAAGTCCATACACAATATCCAAACCCACCCACAGGCAAAAATTCCTGGGGCTCTAATGCTAAGCATTTCATCCAAGCTCACCATCTCCCCCCAGCTCTCTGGTGGTTCCAGTCCCCCTGCCAGTCTCATGAGCTAGTCACTGAGTTCTGTGCTTTTTTTTTTTCCTCTTAGACCTAGACGGAAGGTGTTGCATTTTCATTTGGATATGCCACGGACAGCAAGGCCAAATGAAGAAGTCAGTGTGAAACTTGAACTTCGAACAGAACTGAGAGAATGCATGGTGGTAAGTACAGGCCTGAGGAGGGACCTCCAGACAAATCTTACTTCTTATTAGGAACAAAATTGAATTGCTCTCTCACACTTTTGTGTTGCATGATATACCTAACCTCCTCATAAGTTTTGCTACTTGAGACTCAGAACAATTGTCGGAGCATGGGGCAGATGACCATTCTCATTTTAGAGATAAGGAAACTCTGATCCCAAGAGGTTTAGGAAAGATGAGAAAGGAGGGTAAGGAGTGAGAAAGAAAAAGAAAAAAGAAGTGAGAAAGAGGGAAAGTAAAAGGAAAACAAAGCCTAAGAGCTGCTGGAGAACCAGTCACAGTTCCTCCAAGGCCCTGAGCATTCCTGGTCTGGGATGGAAGCCTGGACAGAGGGTTCTTGGTAGGACTGATTGCAACCCCATGCAGTAGGGTGAGGCATGGAACAGAAGGACTTGCAGAGCATGTCACTAAACTGTGCTGGTCTTTGTCACATGTCATTCATTCATGCTATGCTGGAATTCGACTGGATTCTGATACTTCTGCTGCAATTATACAGTGATAAAATTTCCATTCATGACAATATTGTATTGCAAATGTGATTTAAAAAAAAAAAACTAAGCAATACAAGTATAGGCTTCTCTAAACATCAAGATCCCCACCTCAGGGGTTCTGAGCAGTGAGCCCTGAGCCAAGTCTGCCTTTCCCTCCCCCTTCCTCTGCTCTTTTGCTTCAAGTCATCAAAAGTTGGCTCTTGTTCTGGCCCCACCCTCCACTCCACAGATTGTCCTCTTTTTCCCAGTTCAGCATTTCTTGGAGAGAAGTCTAATTTGTAGATTAGACTGCAGTAGAACAGAAGTTCTCGAATCATGATGAGCCTAAAACTCACCTGGCCATCCTGTCAAAGGACAGATTCTGATTCCAAGGTGTAGAGAGAAGCCAGAACTTCTAGATGTCTCAGGAACTCCAGAGCATGCAGAAGCTGTATTCCAAGGACAGTACTTTGAGCAACCTGGGATTAGAGCACTACATCACTCTGTATTTCCCTACAACATGAGTTTCCTGATTTGAATGAGATCTAAGGGATACAAAATTGCTAGCATGAAGATAGCTATTCATGTAAATATATTCTGGAAATATCTTTATTCTTGTAAAAGAGTCTTGATCAGAAAGTGCAGAACATTCTAGCTGTTTAGTCAAATTTTTCTATTTGAAGTCCAAAAATCTGAGCCATTTATTCTAATTTGAGTGAAAGGGAACCTGAGTGATAGTTTTCAATTTTGTTATTTGTTTAAGCATAACTAAAAATGAGAATGAGGAAAATGTGTAGAAAATATATGCATAAAATTTTTGTGATAATGGTAATTTCTGGTGGTGATAGACAATGAAAGTCTGTTTCTACCCCTAAAGAAGTGATAGGTGTAATAAAGTGTTTAAATCAATAAAATGACATGTAATGTTATGATCAATAAAATTATGTTTTTAAGCATCTTATTAGTACAATAAGAGAGAATGACCTTTAAAAACCTACCCAAGTGCAAATAAAAAGAATAAGAAACTCCTTAGAGTGAGTAATTGCGCAAACAGGAAATATCTCAGGTCAAAGGAAATTATATTAGTTTTAGTCAACCAATTTTATTTGTAGATTTCAATCAACAAAAGAATATAACTACAAAAACATCTTTATATTATAATTTATACTTTCAGGAAACTATAATTTATTTATATAAATTTGAAATTTACACCCCCTAATTTTCTATCAATTATAATAATTCTACAACCAAATTTTTGATAAATTGAGATCTTAGGCTCACATTTGTCTATTTTAAAATCAAAGTAGAATAGGTTGTTCCTATAATTTTGTATTTGAAGATAAAGATTATATAAGACTTTAAGGATAAAGAACACTTGTGGTTAACCAAAAGACTTAAGCATTTTTGTATTATGGACCATTTTACTGGTCTTATAAAATATATGAAATAGTTATCAGAAAATTGCTTTTAAATGCATAAAGTGCATTGGATTACATAGAATAGTTATCATATTGAATGACAACAATAAAAGTTCTGATACAGTGACATATGTGTTTACATGATACATTAGCTGGATTTCTCCATTTAGAATATTAATATACATTTCAAATATTTAGAATATTAAGATACATTTCGTTTTATGAAAACATTGTCTGTAATGGTTGTTGTTGCTCAGCTTGAATAAAGATGTTCACTAAACTGTGCTGGTCTTTGTCACATGTCATTCATTCATGCTATGCTGGAATTCGACTGGATTCTGATACTTCTGCTGCAATTATACAGTGATAAAATTTCCATTCATGACAATATTGTATTGCAAATGTGATTTAAAAAAAAAAAACTAAGCAATACAAGTATAGGCTTCTCTAAACATCAAGATCCCCACCTCAGGGGTTCTGAGCAGCATTCCAATGGGAAAAATGTGAAGGGTTATTCCAGGTGGAATTGCCAGGTACCTGACCAAGCTTCAGGGATGTGTAGGCTGTGGATGTTTCAGTCATACTGATGCAGCCATTTTAATTGCCACCTTTTTGTTCAGGTTGGTGATGAGTACAGGTCATGTTCAAGGTATTTGAATCTATGAACTGTATTTTGTTGCTCCTGGTAAAAAAGTTGCATATGCTATTGAGGCAACGTATAGCATTGAAGAATGCTAATAAAATCTTGGAGAAGTGAAGATACAATTTTTTTCCACCTGAGTTCACAGACAGAGTATACTCCATCCACAGATCCCTCTGGGTGGATGGGTCTTGGGATACAAATGCTAACTAGACAACTGAAATGGACAGAAGCAATAATTGCAGATACTAAAGCAATCTCAAGCTGAAAGAGGAAAAAAGAACCATCATGGTTCTACTTGCTTATCTAACAGCCAGGCTTGGGATTCCATGGCTGTTTCTACCTGACCATGGAGGAAGTCAGAGGGGAAGGTCTAACTTCTGTCATCCCAGGTCGCAGGATCAGCAGGGCCCTGTCACGTGATGACAACAAGGTCTGACCTTGACATGTACACCTGAGCAGCCAGGATGCTGTCTCACTGGGTCACAGATCAAAACTTCATACAGGTCAATTCCCAAGCTCCAGCTGTTAATCTAAGCAAGCTGCTCTCTGATGAATGGCAGCCCTGGGATGAGCTCTCCTTGCCCTGGGAGTCATAGCATCTTCCTATCCCCTCCTGAGTCTCACACCCACACTTCTCAGACAGGAGATTGAGGACTTGAGGAGAGAAAACTGGAGAACACTGACTGACCCATGGTGGACACCACATAAGTGGGCTCCTGCATGCCTCTAGCCCATCTCCACTTTCTTCTTCTCCATCTTTCCATCCCCGGCCTGTTCCCTAGACTAACATTGAGTCCTCTTTCCCCACCAGGTTAGAGCTCAACTCAGAAGCAATGTCCGAATGAAGGGTCACTTCAACCAAAAATTCACCGGCTGTCTCTGTGAAGATAATCCATTTACCTTCTTCTGGGACTTTTACAGTAAAAGTAAGTACAAGCTTTGTCCAAGGAAGGAGTTATCCACCCACCAGTGAGGAAGACCAGAAACAAATGTTCAGCACAAGCTCTGGGGGAGGAACGGAGGGGTGGCTGGAAAGGAAGACCCCAGGAGCAGTCCATGAGGACAAAGCCCAGGCTTTAAAAGGGAAACACTACATGAGAAAAACTAAGAAGGGAAATCAATTTGCAAATGATTTAGGGAATATGATCTTTGTCCTCATCTCTTCCAGACACTGCAAAAATTGCAATATTGATTGACGTAATTAATGAGAAAGATATCTGTGATGATATTTCAGTGGTTCCCAACGAAGGAAACCAACAATATATTGTGCGTACCCTGTTCATACATTAATGGAAACCGCTTTTGTGTCCATCAGCACCCATGTGGTTTTCTCCAAGTAAAATTGGCTGGGGTTCCTGTCGAGGTCTGTAAAATAAACTGTTCAAGCTTCTCCATGTTTTGTTGTGTCTTTCCTCCAAAATCTATCCTGAAAATCCCAGAATACCCAAAATTTCTAGAACCTTAATCATTCAAAGAAACTTTATTAAGGAAATTTATTGCTCTTACCACCCCATACCCATTAAAATAAAGAAGGAAAAAAATAAGTAGGGAAGAAAAGAGCCATTCTCACAGAGAAGAAAGGTAGTAACCCCCAAACTCAGAACCAATGAGACACAGAGTCATGATGGGCAGCCAGGTCTCCCTGCTTCTTGGTCTTCCTCACCCCATGGCCTCTAGATCTGCCTTGAGATTCCAGGGGATGGGACTTATGCTGCATG